ATTGTATCCTGAGCGTCCGTTTCCAAAGCCATGACGGGACTGTCAACTGGCGGCCGTTTCCGTTTGCCTTTGGTGGGCGTCCTCTCCGACAATGGGATGGCAACGGGGCCAGTGTCTCGGGATTTGCCTCTATTCTTGGTCGGACTTGCAGCAATGTCCATGTCATCGAAGCCATCCGCGACAACCCAGGTTTTGACAGTCTTCTTAGGCGTGGTGGTCCCTGGCGCGGCGGGCATTGGCACGTTTTCTCTGCGGCGAGGACGAGTTGAAGCATCCTTCATGTCCCTTTGGAGAAATTGCAGCTCCGTGGTGGCCTGCCTTTCAGCAGCAATGGCAGCTTCCACGGCCCTCTCTTGCTTAGCAGCTTGTTCGGCATTCTGCTTCTTGAGGCGGGAAACCTCGGCTGCGTGGTCCTGTTCAGCCTTGGTAGAATTTGTTCGTATTATCGAGGCCTCGCCGCGAGCAGAGTTGAGCTCAGACTCGAGGGCCCTGAGTCGTTGCTGCAGTGCGGCAACGACATCGTTGCCAGGTGCCGCGTGCAACTGCGACTGGGACTGTGGAGGGTTGAAGCGCGTGGACGAAGGAGGAGCTGGTCGGGCAAATTGGCTCGGAGGAGGTCGATACGGAGCTGCAGGGTGTGCAGACTGGAATCGCTGCGAGGCCACCGGTGCATTGTAGGATGGCACGGGGGGTGGGTATCGCGACCGGGAGGAGAGGGCCGGAGGATTATGCACTGGCGGAGGATTCCATCTCTGTTGAGGTGGAAGAGGTGGGTGCCTGGCTGTATGAGGCTGTTGGAGTTGGTGTTGGAGTTGTTGTTGAGAGATAGTCTTATCTACGGCAGGGCGAGTGACGGGAGGCAGAAGCTCGTTGGTGACCTCGGCATCGTCGAGGTCGTCATCTTCGAATTCGAGGTCATCGTAATTCTCGACCTGGGTAGGGTCAAGTGGTGGCGGTAGAGTCTGAGACTGGGAGTCTTGTTTTCTTTGCGCTTGTGTGAATTGGATAGCATTGTTTTCAAGCTCCTGAAGAGTAGTATCGTTCAATTCATCGAAGTCGTCGTCATTGAATTCGTCCATGATCGCTTTGGAGCGTCGAGTCGTGAATCATGAAGCCATTGACGCTGGAACATGTCAGGGAGGTTGAGGGGAAATTCTGGACTTGGGAATAGTGGCAGCCCACATGAGGCAACAGCCCAAGGGCCGACTGAGTTTCCTTATCTTATCAGTGCTTGGAGGAGCGCAGGCCGCAACGCGATGGAAGACGCGACGTTGGAAAGAGGCGCGCGGTCAGCCATACCAAGGCACTTACCACCGAAGCTACCATAGGAACGTACCTTGCAACTATAAGCCACACATCTCTGGGCACCACATCATGTGATTGTGGCTGGTGAGCTCGGACGATTGCAGCACGAAGCAAAAGACGAACTAAAAAGCTCGCGCCTCACCCGTACGAGAGCTGTTGGCCAGACTTTGCAGCTTGCTGTGTAAAAGAACGGGAGGCTAGCCACAGGACGGCATGTGATGATGTCAACTTGCGTCCACATTATTATTTCGGCTTGGCCGGAGACGGTCTTGGTAGTAAGAGACACTGGCGGACTTTTATGCCCAATCTCAAGCATCGTGTGAGCCACGAGCTTGAAGCATCATTTGATGTTGCCATCCTTCTCTGTAGTACGGATGCCTACTGCAGTAGGTATTCTGTATTGTCTGAGAACACACTTCCAGGGTTCCCTAGGCTGACCAACTCAACAGTTTTGGTGGGCTCTCATCCTTCTAGCAGCGGAGCCCTGCAAAACATACGCGTAAGGTACCTTCCGTCGTGTGCATGGGGCTCCTTGAAGCTTATGCTTGCAGAGGCGAAAGGTTCTTGTATGCATTGGATGGAACCTTACACCTGGCCGTGTCTGACTTGAGGTAAAAACCGAATTTAGCACCTTTGGATACCTACGGGGTAGATGACAGACCAAGATTTTCATTGGAGAAGAAAGAACATTCAAGAAACAGAATGAGAGAGATCATGCAGCGTAACGGAGATGACCAGCAGTCCGGAGACCGGAAGCGACTTGCCCAATGAGGCGTCGAGACTTTCAGTATTGAGGTGCGGTATTGCCGGCCAGCTGGATTACCTAATCTCCGCTCGGGGGGAACAATGTGGGCAATGTGGGCAGGCAATGCGAGCGGACTCCAATTCCCATCACCAGGGCCTCCCCCGCCAAGAATGCAGGCCTGACGTAGCTCTTTTACGCTAATTTGCACCGTCATCATTCGCCCAGACCAGCTGCCCTGGCACCACAGCTTCTGAAGATAGGTATTCGTAGTTGAGTTCCTGGTGCACCATGATCATCAGTAAGAAGGATAATGAAAGGAAAAAAAGAAAAAGAGGAAGAGAATGGAAAGTACAGACGAAATATCATTCGAGGGCAAGTTCGCCCGATTCCAAAGATATTGGAGTAAGAGCAAGGCAGCGTGACACCCCGAGCCCCCGTCGACGTGGACACAGCCGCAGGAGCCCGCTGCCCGCCCCAGGCGTCCAGGACCACGCAGTCGCACTGGAAGGAGCCCCAGGTGGGTCCACTTGTGATTCTGCGCCAGCTGTGCCTTCCCGCTTCCCATTCCACCCTTCCTCTCTGCTCAGCCTTTACGTTCCCTCTCTCGGGTTCAACAAAAAATCCATCCACGCCGACAATTCCCATCCTCTTCACCAAAAAACGTCACTCACGACCGCCCTGCGATTTCGACCTCGACCCCTCTCAACTACGCCTTGGGACTCGACCAGAATCTGCTCCCCCCGACCTGTCTCGAAAACTTGACGACAAACCCTTCCATCGCCTGTCCCTGCGACCCAACGGTCTAATTTGCGCCGACCCTCCGCTTCCACTATTCATCCATCGCCGCATCCGAACCACCCGCTTTTGCTTCGCGACGATTTATCACGACCTTCCATCTCCCTCCCACCGGCGAGACTCTAGCTGCCTCACTTAGGTTCGCAGCTCCCGCCGAGGCCGAATCATCGGAAGCTTTTGTCCTCTCGAGTCTTGCGGAACCGCAAATAGAGATATGATGGCCCGTACACGGAGGGGCGTCAAGTTCCCTCACAAGGCCAATGGTCATGGCGAGGGGCGCCGTTCCAGCTTCAGCGATGTCAGTGAAGATGGCTCGCCCACTAAACAAAGGTCTGGCGCAGCCCTGGACAACATTGTAGAGGTAAGCTCCGAATCCAAGACCACCATCTGTACATGTACAGCCTTACTACGGCTGCGAACGCGATCATCACCGCGACCGTGCAACATGGAGATAGCTAACCACATGCACCTGCCACAGCAACCTCAATCTCCCGAGGAGGAAAAGCGAGCCGCCTACGAGAAGAAGAAGGCCAACTTCCTAACCCGTACCTTCTGGACCTTTGTCATGTTTGCTGGCTTCTTCACGGCTCTCTTCATGGGCCATATTTACATAATCTGCATCATGACTGCTATCCAGATCATCTCCTTCAAGGAGGTTATCGCCATTGCCAGTGTGCCCAGCCGCGCCCGCCAGCTGCGATCCGCCAAGAGCCTCAACTGGTACTGGCTGGCCACCACCATGTACTTCCTCTATGGCGAGAGTGTCATCTACTACTTCAAGCACATCGTCTTGGTTGACAAGGTTTTGCTGCCTTTGGCAACCCACCACCGCTTCATCAGCTTCATCCTGTACATCTTTGGTATGTTTTCTGAAGCAAGCCACTTTATGCCGCTCAGCGAGCATGTCCTGACTTTCAACCTCTGTTAGGCTTCGTCTTCTTTGTCACTTCGCTCCAAAACGGTCACTACAAGTTCCAATTCACCCAGTTTGCATGGACGCATATGGCCCTGTACCTCATCGTCGTCCAGGCCCATTTCATTATGAACAACGTCTTTGAGGGCATGATCTGGTTCTTCCTCCCGGCCGCCATGGTCATCACCAACGATATTTGGGCCTATCTTTGCGGCATTACTTTTGGTCGCACTCAACTCATCGCCCTTTCTCCCAAGAAGACTGTCGAGGGTTTCGTCGGAGCTTGGGCCTTTACCATCTTATTTGGTATGCTTCTGACTAACGTCTTGATGCGCTCCGACTTCTTTCTGTGCCCCGTCAATGTGAGTAATCTGCCCATCTCCCAGATTGATGCAGTCGAGGTGCTAATATCAACTCAGGATCTCGGCGCAAACATCTTTACCGGTCTCGAGTGTACTCGGAACCCTGTCTTCATTCCCAAGACGTATAGCCTGCCTCCTCTGTTCTTCCTGCCTCCCAACATGCACCAGACCTTCTCCTTTACCGTGGCTCCCATGCAACTGCACACTTTGGTATTGGCCACCTTCGCCTCTCTCATCGCACCTTTCGGCGGTTTCTTCGCTTCTGGCCTGAAGCGCACTTTCAAAATCAAGGACTTTGGTGACTCCATTCCGGGACATGGCGGCATGACGGATCGCATGGATTGCCAGTTTATCATGGGTTTCTTCACCTACATGTACTACCATTCCTTCATCGCTCTCCACAAAGTCAATCTTGGCAACGTCATGGAAATGGCTGTCACTGGCTTGACTGTCGAGGAGCAGCTCGAGCTAGTGAGAGGTATGGGTCGCTATCTGAGCAACCAAGGTGTTTGGGGAGATGAGGTTCGTTTTGCATCCCTCCTGATTGCGCATAGGTTTTGCTAACTCCTGTCAGATCATCCAGTGTCTGGATAAGGCATTGCAGGCCAAGCGGTAGATGCACCAACATGAGATACCGACAACTGCTAAACTCGAGCAAACTACTGCTATTTAATGACGAACTAATGCGACATCCGGTACATGTGCTGAGCAGAGCCAGGAATACCCTCCTCTCCATTCTCCAGGAAAGCAACGGAGACGGGTTCGGAACCGGACGGTCGGGAGCTGCGCGCGGGTAAATAAAAGCATTTGCGTGACGACGACGACGACGACGACGACGGTCGCTGTACAAGAGAGTTTTTCTTGGGTTATGACGGGCGGATGGAATTTGCATGGACTAGCTGTAACATACCCTGTCGCGACGTTTTTCTTTCAACATACCACGTCTCACTCTTCAACTCTTGAACCAAGTTTGACCAAGCATGAATATCGAAGTCGCGAAACCATGAGTACGACACAGACAGCCTCCTCAGACTTGCCCTACAGTCCCCGTGGAGATGCCTCTCTTATCGGCGACTGAGCCGCCCATTGCGGAGGCGGGGCCCCTTCCAAACCCCAGGATAATGCGGCGTATTCCTTGTCCGGCCGTCCGAAGTTTGGACCGGCCCGGTCGGGTTTCCCGGTATCCGGTATCCGGTCCTGACTTTGAAGAGCGATCCCGGTCGTGCCTTATCATGACCCGCAACCCCGCTCCGGCCAAACACTGGGTAACATCTTCCGAATGACATTTCCGCCTTTCGTGGGTGGCGTATTACCTATCAATCGGCCATCTCTACGCTCGCAGAACTTCCCCAGACCAACTTTATCTGTAATACATCTGGACTCACCAATACTCGTCGGAATACAACCACTGCCTCTCACATCTTCAAACAGATACACTCAAAGAACCACGGCCTGACAGACGTGTGCTTAATTCTCCGCACCGAAACCTTTTTTCTTCTGACTCCGTAAACCGGCGCACCGATCAGAAGACCCACCATGGCTCCGTCTGCCGTTGTTAGCGACACCGAGTCCATCGAGGCCCGCGCTGCCGCCATCGTCCCCAAAGAGGTGTCGCACGCCAAGCATGGCCATGAGCTCGCCAACAAGACGCCTTTGCAGGCCATGTCCCATGGCGATGTCGCTCTCGCCGGTATCCCAAAGTTCCCTGACTTCGCCTCCAAGCGTCAATGGCAACTCGAGCACATGGCCGCCGCATTCCGCCACTGGTATCGCGAGGACTACATCGAGGGCATGAGCGGCCACATCTCCGTCAGGGACCCCGAGCACCACGACGCCTTCTGGACAAACCCTCTCGGCAAGCACTTTGGTCTGCTCAAGGCCAGCGATATGATTCTCGTCGACCTCGACGGCGAGGTTATCGGCGGCAACCGCACCAAGCCTCCCAATACGGCTGGCTTCTTGATCCACGCTGCCGTGCACAAGGCCCGCCCTGATGTTCACGCCGTCTGCCACAACCACAGCATCCACGGCAAGGCCTGGTCAGTCTTTGGCCGCAGGCTTGAGATGTTGACCCAGGACTCCTGCAAGTTCCGTGGCGATGCTCACAGCGTCTACAACAGCTACGGCGGTGTCGTTCTGGGTCCTGAGGAGGGTGAGCTGATTGCCGAAGCCTTGGGTCCCAAGGGCAAGGGCTGCATTCTGCGAAACCACGGACTGTTGACGGTTGGTCGTACCGTTGACGAGGCCGCGTTTTTGTACACTTCCATGGAGCGCAGCTGTCGCGTGCAGCTCCTGGCCGAGGCGGCCGCCGCCAACGGCTTGGCAAAGGTTCCCATCACGGATGAGGAGGCGCAGTTCAACTTTGACGTTGAGAGCGACCCGGAGATTTGCTACTGCGAGTTCCAAGTTTACTACGACCTGGAGGATGAGTTGACAAAGGGCGACTTTAAGAACTAAAGGCTGTCAATTTGGCTACAATGAAAATGTCGTTCTTCCTTCACTCCATAGATTCCCTCATTATTAATCAGCGTTTCAATTCAAACAATGTTAGAAGCCCTTCCGACCCTCTAGTTGTCCACCATAGTCATGCGATGAATGATGTTTAGAGTCACTCAGCGTGGCGGAGCTATGGCGTGAGCCTCAAGTTGCGAGCCCTACGCGAAACAGGGTTGCCGAAGATTCATTCTAACAAAGGATATTAGTGACGGCAAGCTAAAGCTTTCAATCACACACCCAACTAGTCTATGACCCCTTGTTATTACTCTTGAAATCTACTTCTCGTCGTGTACCTCCAAACACTGACATGAAAATTAATTGCTGCCACCCTTTTTCATCATGATCTTCTTGAAAGGGTTCTTCCCCTTGAACCTGAGCCAAGTCCCGACATAGACCACGGCGTAATTGAAGACGATAAACCCGCAAAAGATGCCAAAGTCACGCCAGATATTGCTGTAGTAAACGCTGAAACCTGCACCGAATTCATCACCAGTCGCATACTGGCAGAATTCGCAGACACCCCCATCCCCGGTCTGAACGTAACCACCCGCCTGCTGGATATAAGGCGCAGTGTAGTCTTCGCAGGACAAGTTGGGAGGCGGCTGGTATCTGGCAAATTCTCCAGACTCGCACTGAACAGGCTGGTCATGAATGGCAACTCCGAGGAAGGCTTCCAGAAGGTAGTGGAAAGGTGTAAGCCAGTACATCCAAGCTCTCCAGAACGTAGGAAGTTGGGCCGCGGGCACTACTACACCGCAGAAACTGACGACGAAGAGGAAGAAGATGGGAACCAAGAGAGACGCGAGAAGCTCGTTGGGAGCGAATGCGGCGATAGCCTGGCCAAAGCTCACGTAGTACAGCTCGAAAAGGATGACCAAGAGGAATGCAAAGCCGGAGTTGAAGCCGGGAAGACGCCATCCGAAAACACCCCACCACCAGCAGTTGAAGTAGATACCTCCTGCGACAATAGCGTAGGGAATCTCGACGAGAACGGCAGCCGTCGTCCAAGCAAACCAACTGTAAATCTTTGCGTTGTTCTCGCGCGACTGGAAAATCTGGCGGGATTGCAGAAATACGGGCTGCAATTGCTGGATGAGCGGGGGACTAATAGTCAGGGTCATGAAGATGGAGAAGAGCCGGTTTTGGTAGTCGACGGACGCGTAGCCAATCTTGTAAAAGGTGAAGCAGTTGAAGAGACCTGTCAAGATGTGCAACATGAACTTTCCGACAATGTAGTTGGGCGTGCGCCAGTAAGCAGTGAACGACCGCTTGACCACTGCCACTGTTTGAGTCGTCAATGGCATGGCATATTCGCGGTCGTCCTTGAGGCTCTTCGAGGGCTCGACGTCCTTCCTCTTTGCCAGCATCTCGTCAATGTCTCGGGATCTCTGCTCCTTGTGCTTTGACTGCGCCCAAACATCTCCCCAATCCTTGCCCTTGTAGTTCGGGTCACCGGCACCGATTGCCTCCAGCATGTACTCGGCTGGATTGCTGCTTGGAGGGCACTTGTGAGCGCCGTTCGCCTCAAAGTATTGAATCAGATCTTGGCTGTCGTGTCCAAGCGGGCCGTTGTACGCAACTCGGCCTCCAGCTTTGAGAAGCAATAGCTCGTCAAATTCCTCGAACAACACGGCCGACGGCTGGTGAATGGTGCACAGTACGGCTTGGCCAGCGTCTGCCAGTTTGCGCAAGAATCGGACAATGTTGAAAGCGGCTCCAGAATCCAAACCAGAAGTAGGCTCGTCCAAGAACATGAGGAGCTCAGGCTTCGATGCCAGCTCAACCCCAATGGTGAGCCTTTTTCGCTGTTCGGCATTGAGTCCCTCGCCGACTTTGCCAATCGTTGCCCCGGCAATATCACGCATCTCAAGAAGATCGATGATAGTTTCACAGTAATCGAACTTCTCCTTCTTCGATACTTCTCGGGGTTGGCGCAATAGCGCTGAGAACTGAAGAGCTTCTCGAACCGTCGCCGAAGGTTCATGCACATCCATCTGCTCAGCATATCCAGTCGCTCTCTGGAAGGACTTGGGCAGTGGTCGAGCATCGACCAGGAACTCTCCCGTGACTTTGCCAAAGGTGAGGCGTTGAGCCAGGGCATTCAGCAGAGTCGTCTTACCAGCACCTATGAGTCATTAGCAACTGCAAACAGCCACTTCTGTGACAAAATCAACACCTACCGGAGGCACCCATGAGTGCGGTGAGTTTTCCAGGACGGACGTATCCTTGGACGTCATCCAGGAGCGTGCGCTCTCCCTTCTCGAAAGGTATAACGTACTTGACGTTGCGGAAAGTGAAAACGGTCTCATTCCGAGCCACTTGCTTCACGGTGTCCTCGTCGCTCTTCTCTTTCTTCGCATTGTCGGCTGTCATCGTTTGCGTACTGTTGTTGGCTTCGCCTGATTCCTCATCACCCTTCTTGCCACGCCCGCCCGCGGCGATGTTATTCTCTACCTTCTTGGGGACTTGCCCACGCTTGTAAACGGTAATAGCGCCGCCACCAGTGTTCGGCTTCATGTGCTCCATGCCCAAGGCTGTGAGGACTACAAAGGCGATGAAGAAAGCCCATAGGAAGCCAAAATTCCGCCATAAATGAGAATGAGAATACGTGAATGAAGCTTCAATGTAACTGGAGCCGGGTACAATCGTCTGACCCGGTGGGCTTCCAGCAAGCGCACAACCTTGGTACGCCGGCGAGGCGTTGGGTCCTTGAGGAACGAGGTAAGGCGGGACGCATTGCAGCTCGCGGTCGTAAAACTCATTAGACATGAGACACTCGAAGCCGTACTGGATCCAGTTGATCCACCGCAGCCACCCAAACCAGGGGCGCATCGAAGTTGGTGGGATAAGGTAGCCTGTGTAAACGATAACGATCTGAACAGATATGCCAGTGAATCGTGTTGCATCGTCCAAGGTCTTGCACCAAGCTGAGATTGCACGGAAGAAAGCATAGGTGACCATGGTAACCAACCATAGAATGAGGGTGGCGATGAAGAACTGTGACGCAGTCCTGGCAAGGTTGGACATCCAGTAGATGATGATGTTGAAGAGGACAACCTGGATGAAGACGAGCGGCACGTCCACTACAGTTTGCGCAATGGCAAAAGCTGCTGGGCGGTAGAAAGAGAAGGACTTGTGCTTGAGCAAAATGGGTTTCGATTCGAATGCTGCGGATTGCTCGGCCAGTGCTAGTAAGGCGTTGAAGAGAAGCAAGAAGAACAAGGTTCCTCCGCGGGGGAATGCTCCGGCAGCGGTATTCGGAAGGTTGTAGAACAAACTGCCGACGATAAGACCTTGGAACACCAGTCCGCCCCATTTACCAAAGAGGGACGCTCGATCTCCGGCCATTACCATGAACTGGCGCTTGGTGCAGTAGATGACCTGTTTGTGGAAGGGAATCTCGTAGTTCTTGGTCTCCGTCTTCTTCGATTCGTTCTGGCGGCGGCTCTCGATTTGCTGTGCAAGCTGAGACTCAAACTCTTCCACATCTTGGATGTTTTTCCTGTAGGCCTCGCTGTTCCTATATGCCCAGTCAAACTCCTCGGGGGTTCTTGGAATTCGGGACTCGTAGCCGTCCCGAATGTGGCGCTCATGCTCATCGGTCACCGAAGTCAAGAAGTCTGCAGTTGTCCACCGGTCTGGGCACTCGAAGCCGAGGTCAATGAAGTACTGCTTTGCGGATTCCGAGGGTCCGTAATAAAGACACTTAGCCTCGTCGATGAGGAGCACTTTGTCGACGAGGTTGTATAAAGACTCCCCAGCTTGGTAAAGCGACACGGCCGTTGACGTCTCTGCCATGTTTGTCATGGCCCGAATCGATCGGACGTACTCCACGGCAGTACTGGCATCGAGGCCTTTGCTTGAGTTGTCCCACCCTTGAACGGATGCGCGAGTAATCATGGCTTCTGCGATGCTGACACGCTTTCTTTCGCCACCCGACACACCTCTCACATACTCGTTTCCAACCTTGGTGCCCAAGGTATGCTCGATCCAAAAGAGCTTCGTGGCAACTCGCATGAACTCCTCGATGTAGTCCTTCCTGCTCTCGCCTTCAATTCTTGACTCCTTGCCAGGGGTTCGCGTCTCAAGAGCGAAGTTGAGAGTTCTCTTGACGGTCAGGGTTGGGTAGTGGAGGTCGTCTTCTGGGTTGTAGATGATTTCTCCGCGAAATCTTTTGCTCATCTCCTCAGCCGGGGCGCCTCCATAAGTGACATCTCCTTCAATAGCCTGGAAACCTGCCCTTTGATTGCAAAATGCCTTGAGGAAAGTGCTACATCCTGAGCCTGGACGACCAAGAACAAGAAGAAGCTCTCCAGGGCGTACGCAACCATCGAAATGACTGATGAGCTCTCTAACCGGGGGCTTTGCGAATGCAGCCTTAGGCCCTCGAGTGAAAAGCATCTTGATCTTTCGGGGGAATCCGAGAAAGACGTCTCCAATTGTGGGCTGTAGGCTGGCCCCGAGACCGACGCCTTTGACCGTGAGATTGCGGAAAACAACTCCGCTATGCCGCGTTTTCTCTTCCTCGCTCTGTTCTTGTCGAGCTCGACCAAATATCCGAGACATGAGACGTTCAACCTCTTGCTGCTCCTCTTCCTGCTCAGCATCCGACTGGTGCGTAGCATTGGTACGACGGCGAGACAGCACTCGGAAAAGATCATCTTCGGTCAAATTGCTTCCTTGTCTGGGGGCATTTGGCCGTTTTGCGTTGCCGGTATGGGTCTTTAGAGGCGCAAAATGCGTACTATCCGTAGGCGATAGAGCGTTTGCGGAGGGAGAGGATGGCGTCGAATCACCATCGACTGGGATATGCTTTTCCGACAAATCTTCTACTCGCGAAGCTCTGCGACTACCCGAGACCGCGACACCGTTGCCAGAAAGCGTAACAGTCGAAGAAGAGGTGTCGTCGCGGACACGCGAGGTCGTGGCGAAGTAACTTGTGCCGGTCCGGGTGATCTGACTGGATTGTGTGTTTGCGGCATTCTGATAATTGTGCTGGTCGTGACTGGAAAATGCCATCGGCGTAGGACGGCCGCTGGTCGGGGCAAGACTAGGTGTCTCGGGGAAGCCACCAGGGACGTCAGTGTCCCGAGGCGTGGGCTTCTCATCCATAATGGTTTTGATTGTATCCCGACAGCAGGTAGAACTTATCAACGTAGCTACAACACTATGGTATCCCGCAAGGTGACGATGGTGATCAAGTAGCTATAGTGTACATACTGGTGCAAAAAATTGATAGAGTTGACGCTGTTGATGGGAGCCCGTAGGTAAATAACACTGTCTTAGTGAGCGGACGGATATTTGCTTTTCATTGAAACCACATGCCAACGAAACGCCAGTCGACACTAGGCCGGTTCCAGAATATCTTCTATGTTTTCAGGGGGGACGCGAGCAACGAAATTCGATTCTAATTGTGGGAGACTAACGGCGTCGGTCATCTGTTTCCGCCGACCGTTAATCCAGTTGAGATCTATGACGACGTAGAGCCAAGTACTAGGAAACCACGTCGGTCGCGTCAGCGCGACACTGGTGTAAGTTATCGACCAAGTGGAGACCGCTAGATCTTTTCTTCTCCAAGCAAGGAGCCTCATCTGGCAAGCTCGAGCTATGCTTTCGTCATAGATCCACGAAGCTACCCGATGGCGCTGACACGCTGTGCAGAGAGGTGCATCCCAATCGGCGATTGAGCTTTACCTTGACCGAGAAGTCGATCCCACCGGCCAGAATCCCCTTATTACGGACATTTTCGACCCCCGAAATGTGCGAGAACAAACATCTAGATTACAATGTCTTGTCCTCATGTATGTTGCCGCTGGAATCATTGAGACAAATCCATCTTGGCATCTGTGCTAAAACTGGCTAGGGTGCTCGGGTCCATGATTGAAAATTCCGGGCGGGTTTGGCCGTGTTTCTTGGTGCTCTGATTGGTTCTGGGTTGATTCTCCTGCTCCATGCCTCTCAAATAGACCAGACTCGATGGACACAGTTTTCTCCTTGCATTGAACCTTTGTGTCTTCTGAACTTAAGCAATCGCCCTCTGAATTCACATGCAACATAACACCGACTAATTAATACCAATCCATGTATACCGAAACTAGTAAAGTAAATGTGAGGGGGTTGATCTTTAGTTCGCCATGTTTTCTTCAGTCTACTCTTTTCAGTCCATGCCTGATACCACATAGAAATGCTTGGAAAGCAAGGTCTGCATTGATCAGCTCGATAACTCTTGAAATTTATACCGACCATTCTTAACAGCAAAGTTCGAAACCTTGAGATTTGTAGTGTTGAATTGAGGAATTCATATACCATACCGGGTCACGCAGACATATTACAATATCCGACGGGTCTAGGAGGGTAACTTGTAGTCGATTTCATTACATGACAATGTGTCAAAGCAAAGACATACTTCAATCAGTGAAGAATACAAAAGATGCCGTTCTAAAGATATTGTTCTAAACTTGAAGCTTTTCTACCCGGAACAAGCAGACCAAAAATGACAAGCCTAGCACTACTTCGAGTTCGAAGCCAAATGTGTCAAAGCCCATTCGCGCTGTGCGTCGATGTACTCCTGACTAAATGTGTAATCGTTGTACCCAATCTCGGACCCTCTTATGTAAAACGAAAAGCGGTGGTACTTCGTAAGCGGAACGCCGTGCTTGAAGCGCCAAACAAGGTCGGGGTTTGCAATAAAGCTTCTTCCGAATGCAACAATGATATCCCACTTTGCATAGTGCTCTTCAAGTGCTTGGGCAGCGCTCTCGGGACCATAGCCACCTGCCACAATAACAGGGGACAAGTTATCCCAGATGTCAAGGATGAAATCGAGGGTCTGTTGCGCAATCTTGGGATCGTGCGTAGTGTTCAAAAGCTTGGCAGGATCGCCTCGAGCCTCAACGAGTGATAGATAGGCAAAAGGAAGGTTCATCTTCTTGAGTTCCGTGACAATGTAAGTGTACTGTCCGTGGATATCAGATGACTCTGCGCCTTGGAAAGATGCATACGGAGAGAGTCGAAGAGCCACTTTCTCAGCTCCGATAACTTCAACGACTGCCTTAACGACTTCGAGTAGAAGACGAGCTCGGTTTTTAATGGAGCCTCCCCATCTATCAGTTCGCTTGTTGACGGAGTCTGAGAGGAACTGGTCCAGAAGGTAACCATGGGCTCCATGGATTTCAACACCATCACCGCCTGCAGCGACAACTCTCTTGGCAGTGTCCGCAAAGTCTTGGATGACTTGCAGAATCTCCTCTTCTGTCATTTCTTCCGGGACGGCTGCGCCCTGTTCCATGGGCACAGCGCTAGAGGATCGAAACCGGTAGCCGCGCTGCTTCTGGTACTCTGGGTCTGCAGCTCGTCCTTGTGCCCAAATTTGTTGAAACCACACGCCTTTCTTTTCGTGAACTGCGGCGATGACCTTTTCCCAAGCAGCGACTTGCTCGTCTGTGACAAAGGCCGGGCCGTGTGGCACTCCTGTCTCCGGCATTGACGTGCCGGTGGCTTCGGAGATAATCAAAGTACCCGGAGTCGAGGCTCTGTCGCTGTAATAACGGGGGACAAAAGGTTTGGCCACGTGGCTTGCATCATTTCGGTATCGGGTCAAAGGTGCCATGGCAATGCGATGCTCTAGTTGTGTGTTGCCAAGCTTCAACGGCTTGAATAGCTTGCTTTCTGTAATTTGGGAGGTTGCCATGATGAATCGATGATTTGAGCTACTGGTAGACTGATGTTGTTGATGTATCAAGTGGATAAGATACGTTAACGAGGTGTTTGGAAACTCAATTGAATCAGCTTTTGAGAAATCGTTGCAAAGTGTCTATTTCTAACTGACTCTGAAGCCAATGCGAGGTCTCTTTCGCCATTAAGTACTATCTCTCACTCGAGTTGTTTCCTTGTTTTTGAGAAGGCCCACTATGAACCGGCGAGTCAGCCGGAGCACTGATTCGCGGTGCTGTGGGCAACTCCGCAACTCCGGCTTGGCGTCTTACAAAGCGTGCAGCAGCTCCGTGATTCCGGGGCAACCCGATCGGCCATGCCGCTGACAATGACACGTTTAAGTGGTCTTTTGGAGTTTGTCATCCCGTTCTTAGTCATCGGAGATAGACATTTTTCATCGGAGACTTGTGGATTGGTCGAATCCATGCGTTTGGAGAATACTCGTAGGGGCTGGTTAACAGAACCCAACGCGCACGAAATCTGTTTCAAGAATGGCGTCAGTGTATTAGTGGCCAACAACACTAAATGCACGTGACCTTCCTACATCAAAACCACGATGGTTGGTCGTACTTCTTATAGGTCGTTGGGAACCCCTTCTAGCGTTTCAGCGGCTTCTGAGCTCAATATCTGCATGTTGCAACATGGGGGTGACACAGCCGTGGCCGACGAGCAAATTTGAACAAAGCCGCCACACAGTCATCACAAACCAAAATTCCTTTTCCTGCTAAGGCTGCCAGGAAGCCCACAACAACAGTTTGAAGTAGCTATTAACCTTTCCCTCTCTCCACGATCATTGATTTTCGCGTCTTCTTGCGCGCCTATCGTAAGCGGCATCACACTGTCAACATGTCACACCGAGTTTCAAGGCAAGGCGATTGAGCGTAATTGCGTGATCCGAGTATGGATAGCAATCTATTCACTAAACTCAAAGAAAATGTGAGTTCATGTCATCTTTGCCCTATATAGTCCCCTCACGTTTGAGAAAAGAATCCTTCAGGCGCTATCGAAAACCTGGACGGCAGCTTGAGCAGTGGATGTAGCGCTGGCTGGGCTCTGGCCTGTCACTAGGTGACCATCAACCACGTGGAAGTCGTCCCAGATACCAGGGGCACGTACATCTATTTCTGGTGTCAGATCCAACGGGACCTAGTAACCAAGTGATGGTCTAGGAGGTCGAGAAGAGATAATTGCTTACATGTCGCACCAAGTCGAATTGCAGTCTCCTCCACCATCTCGGCACCCTAGCTTCTGAGTTCATCCATAACGCCCATGGAGGTTTCGGCTTCCGTCGTGAACCCAGTAATCCTCTTGTTCTTAATAAGGGGCTCATTGGTGGTCGGATCAATAAGGTTGGCAAAAAGTGCAGGCCCGTGGCAAACAGAACAGACGACCCCTCCATTTCCCCAGACTTCCGCTGCAATTTGCTGAAGAGAAGAGGCCGTGGGATAATCGATGAGCGCAGCATGGCCAGCAGAGGCGTAGAAAGGCCCATAAGCGTTACCGTCGAGGTCGGCGGCTTTCGGCATGTTATCGAGCTTCGTGCGGAATTCGCTGCTGGTATCATTCCAAATCTTCAGGTCTTCGCCATTGAGAAAATCTGGCTGTCTTGAAAGCCAGTCGGGGGTGTATGCACCAGTTTCGTATGCGAGATCAACTTCGAAACCAGCGGCCTTCAAGACATTGTAAGGATGCAGCGCTTCGCTAATAAAGAGACCAGTGGTTTCCTTTCCCCCGGACGGTGTTCCATGAGCAGAAGCGATGCTGATAAGAGCTGGGCGGGGCAAAGACATGGTGATTCCGATGATGAGATGTTTGGCAAGGCGAACAAGAATGGCAAAGAAGCTTATAGTTCAAGAAAGTCTGATGAGATTGAGTGGTTTATAAAGCTGTGAGAGAAGTGTAGGGTGGTTAAACTCAAGGTATAAAGCTGGAGATTTGGATGAAAGTATTTATACTCATGTAATGCCACTGTCTCTTAGAGAGACGAGGCTCTTTGACTGTCCGCCAAGAGGAGTTGTTGCGTTTGGCCGGTTGGTTAAATTACAGGAGCAACTCCTAGTGGACAAAAAAGGACCAGAGTAAGCAGACAGAGGACATGCTCTAGTTGCTGGGATGTGTGACATCGAGTTCTGTGAGCCATTTCCTGAATTAGCTGGTCGTGCGTTCATCTTCAATAAAGACGTGAACTGAAAACTGGGATCATCGCCTGCGCCGATCACTAGGCAAATTTGCTTGCACGGAATATTGACATCTACCTTGGTCAGTTTCCAGATTCTAGCTAATACACAGAGGACTCGGCAAATGTGCCAATGTCACCAATGCCCAGCATGTCAATGTTAGCCCAGAAATCTACGCCAACCGCCATTTCCGTAAAGTCGAACTCCGGAAATTGATTCGTGAGCTCGGGAGATGTTGGTTTATGGGCCAATTCAGGAGCAAAGTCATCGGGAACCTCCACTCCCGGATCGATACGCTGCGTAGATAATTCAGCTGGTCCCTTCTGACCATAGCTCTGGGAAGATGCGGATATCAAGGCATCGATCTTCGTACACAGCATTCGAACAACAGTTTCAGCATTTGTAGCCAGCTCGAAACTTTGGCCAAATGTACCAAAAACCGACAAGGCCAATCCCATGGCACTTCTCGCAGGTTCCGCCAAAGCGTGGCATGGGTTGGCCAAAATGAACCCTGCCAATGTAATAGCGGAATTCCATTGCCACTGAAATGCTTCATGCCATCCATTGAGAATAGCTGTAGACGACAACGCTTGCTGGGTAATCTTGGATAGCTCTATCGCGTGGTTGACGCTTTCCACCGCGAGCCTCTCAACAAGACTTCCGGCCACCGGAACTCTTTTGAACGAAATGAAGGGTCGGTAAAGGTTGACAGACATGTGGTGATATTCCATTTCCAGGAGGAGGCGTTGTCTTTGTAGCCAGAGTGGGGCATACTGCTCAATGACGAGAGCCGTGCCCTCAGTCGAAAGAACACAACCATCGTTTTCTCGACTGGTCTTGAGCGCCTCAGGTAAGTTCTGCACCCATTTCTTTATCCCTTGGATATGAGGTCCCAGGCTTTCGGCTACCTGGGCTAATGATGTGGGGTCATCCCATATGGTCTTGCGTTGAGCAAGGCCAAAGTCGTGACTGTACAACGCAGTATGAGCATCTCTCATCGTTTGGAACAACTTGAGGTGATGAAGGCTAAAACTTAGCCAGGTAGCGTCCCCTGAGATTGGAGCGAATGTAGATCCTGATAACACGGAAGCGCCAAGCTGGTCATCGGGGAATGGCGGCATGGAAAACGAGCCATGAAGTAAAAATGGGCGGCCCAGCTTCATCCCGACTTTGCTATCCAAGACATAGACGGCCCACCAAAGACGACGTCTTACTTGACGTTCTTTCTCTGTTGTATCAGGAGGAGGGCCAATGTGAAGACCCAGCATGTAGGCTGTGCGTACAGCTTGACCGCAAATGCTATCTGCCATGTTATGAAATGACGCGCCACAGACATAGACAGCTGATAGAAGATGACACTGTAGTGTAGAGATGGTAGGGCTTTCCATTTCTCCTGCTAGCAAAGTCTGTGCTCTTCGATAGTGCCACCGGCCGGCAGTTGTAGCATCATTTTCTTCAACAATATTTCCTTGATGGCTAGATGGTAGACTCGAGGCCCTATACTGCATGCACATGGCAACAACAATGTCGACTAGCGCCGAAGACTTGCGAGCATATCCCACAGGCACGTCCAGATAGAGTGCTTGATACTCTTTTTTGAACTCGGCCTCATCGATAATGGCGTACAAAGAGGTGTGGTACGATTGCCAAAACAGGTTGACGAAGTACTCTTCTTGAATCGGATTCAGGAAAACACCAGATTTATTGCCGTTGACTAGTGGTCTCAACAAGTGAGATGCGTCTTCTGATGTAGTCTTTGCCTGAGCGAGCACGTTATTACCGCCCGTTGATCGGAGAAGCATATGGTCTGGCTGAGCATGTTCAACATCGGTACTGAGGAACACGCCAAGGCGGTGGATAAAGAAGTAAAGAGACGAAGGTCCGAACCAAGCAACATGAGGTGAACGTGCAGGCCGAAGCAAAGCACCATTCCAAGGCTTGTTCCTCGGCATGACAAAGTGGCCTTCGATGTTCATGGCTGCCGTTGCTCCCACGGTGGCGACTACTTGTTGTGAATGAATTAAAGGTGGATTGTCGAAAGTGGTATGCGCCTCTTGCTGCCGTTGGAGCTCTCGTTCGAGGTCCAACACTCTAAGCCTCAGTCGATCTATCTCTTCATGGGCCTCTGAGAGGGTCGAGGTTCGCGTTGCATCCGTATTGCTACACTGCTGGCCCCGACCCCTGCAATTGGTACAAGGGGACGCATCGTCGCATTTGATGCGACGCAAGCGACAAGCATCGCACGCCCTGCCGACTTGCCTCCTCTTTGGCCTGATCCCGCTCCTTGGCCGGTTCTCTAAGGGTTGTGGAAGAGGGGCAGGATTAGCCATGAGTCAGGAGGGCCTACAATGGCCAGGGTGACTGGAGGTTGCTCTCAGGCGGTGATTAGGTCCAATGATAGAGTGATCTCTTGAATCAGGAAGATCTGACCCCTCCCTAGCCATCACAAGGTATTCGTAGTTCGAGAAAGAGCGGTTTGGGTATGAGGTCGTTGTCGACGGTCCGAAGTGGTCTGAGCCTCTGAGGCCACAGCATGCGAAGGGGTCCAAATGGTAAGCACGCACGCGGTAGGCAACAGCGACGGCACGTGCGGAACGGGCCCCACGTGGCACCGGCTGCACAGCGCGCACTGCAAACCGGTCAGAGCCTTAAGCCATGCACATATCCATACATGGATTCTTGACCAACAATTAGCCATAGCCAAACGATGTGATGGTCTTTATGATACTGAAATATTTGACAGCCCGTCATCAAGATTCCGACATCTGGCTACCCGTGGGAATCTCCGAGAGTGTTGGTAAATTTGATGGCCCTAGCGCTCATCGCGAGTTTTAAGTCGAGCAGGCACTTCAACCATATTTTGTGACATCAACATAGTGAGCTTCCATCCGCGTTGGTTTATACTTGACCGAGTTCCAGTCTATAGCTACACTGACAGACCATTTGGCCAGAGAATACTGGGAACAGAAACTGACGATAGTATGTGCCGTACGGAACCGAACTTCACAGGACTAATAACGTAGGTAGCCACGGTCTCATGCACGTCCAGGGCATTGCTACTTGACTTGCTCTACCTTATCTCGACGAGTGAAGAGTTCTCAAACTTTGATACAGAAGTTTGGTACCAAATCATCCGACTTGGGCGACTGAAAAGAGTTCTTACCCCAGCAAGCGTTCTTTGGCAATACTTTAGTAAGTGCCTTCCAGACAGTATCGGAGGCCGAGGAATCCAGCGATTTCCGCAGTAAGGTTTGGCAACAAGTCCCTGTAATTAGATCGCGGGTCTCCACTGCACGACCTTCCTATTCCGCGCCTGGATGCGAGGATGGACCCTCCGCCCTCCGGCCCCTCTCTATATCCCGACCATACGAGAATTTTGTTGCTCAATGCCGATTGGAGGGGTTAATCAACCCCTCCAGATCTGTACGTTGCAGTGATACCAGCAGACCTAATCAAGCTTTCCAGCCTCAAGTAGCAGAGATTGGCGACAGATCGGGAACCGACATCACCTACCCAATACTACCTAGGCAGGTGGCTATCTGCATCTCGAAATTGGGACACTGGAACTTCTGAAAGTGCTTTTGACGTTGATCAATTCGTATCGCAATCCTTATCGTGAAGCACGTCTTCGAGACTCACCATGCTTTTTTCTTACGAGATGTCATTCTGTCTAGCAACGGACGGCCTGAGTAAAGTACTTATATCATGTCGCGAAGTACGTTTCAAGCCAAAATGTCACGCAAGTCATAGCCATCTTGGCGTTCATCACACTCCTTTGATATACTCTCACTCAATACTTCATCATGAAGATCCATTCTTTTATTTTTGTTGCTGCTACGGCCCTGATCACGCCTAGCCTGGCGGCGTTTCATCCCGGGACCGCTGTCAAGGCTAAGCCCGCGGTCAACGCTGGTTTCATCATTGAGCTCGAACCGGATGCGTCAATCAATGGTCGTGAGATTCGCGAAGATGCACACTCTGCCTTCCATCGCCGAGCCGAAGGCGTGTTGGATTACTCTGTTCGTCATGAATTCAAAAACGCGGATTACTTTTACGGATTGTCTATCAATGCAAAGGATAGTATCGACGTAGACACTTTGCTTGCCCTGCCTCAGGTCAAGAAAGTCTGGCCCAACAGATATTACGACCGACCCGAACCAGTTGGCTCTAGCCGGGGGTCAAAGACTGCTAACCCCTCCGTTCCCGTCGGAGTCCAGTCCATCCAGCTCAGAGATGCCGCGCGGGTTGTCACCATCAACGGCACCAGCGATGTACTTTCCAGTCTGAAGATGACTGGCGCTGACCAAGTTCATGCCCAAGGCTTGACCGGAAAGGACATCAAGATTGGTTTCCTCGATACTGGTGTTGATTGGCGTCACCCAGCTCTGGGTGGTGGTTTCGGCGAAGGCTTCAAAGTTGCGGGAGGCTATGACTTTGTGGGTGATGACTTTGTGGGCTGGAATGATCCAGTCCCGGATGACGACCCTTTAACTACGTGCTTGGAAGGCGGGCATGGCACACATGTTGCTGGTATGTCATTTCGAGGAGAACTCCCTTGCTTGCTCTAGCTTGAGCTAACTCGCCACCGCAGGCATTCTCGCTGCTAAGGACCCTCAGGGCGTCGGTTTTGGTATCTCTGGTGTTGCACCTGACGCATCTCTCTATGCCTATCGCGTTATTAGCTGTAGTGGAGGCGCCACCGATGATATTCTCATGCAAGGCTTTGAGAGAGCTGCTAGTGATGGAGTTGATCTCATCAGCATGTCCATTGGTGCGACGACTATTTGGGAGGATGGCTCACCATATATCCCAATCCTGTCCAAGATCCAGTCCCAGGGCATTGGCATCGTCATTGCGGCAGGCAACGAGGGCGACACTGGTCTTTACGTCTCCTCGGCACCGGCACAGGACCCAAGTGCCATCTCAGTTGGCTCCGTAAGCGACTTTCACTTTGCTACGGTCTACAATGCCGCTGGCTCGGACGGTTCAACCATCGAGTATGGCCGTGTTGTTCCCATCAACGCTTCAGCGCACTTCAACGTCTTTGTTGCGGACGACGACAATGGAGAGTGCGTGGATCAAGCGTGGGATGACGCGATAGCCAGCTTCCCCGATAAGGATAGTGTGGTCGCGCTGGTTATCTCAAAAAAGGACTGTTACTACGATATCCTTGATGAGCGGAGCAACTCTTCAGGCTTCACGAACGTTTGGGCATGGTTTCCTGATACTGACGACATGTCAATTGACGAGCCAGGTGCGTATGGCGACATCGACATGGTTAAGGTTAAGAAGTCCGAGGCAAGCAAGATCCTCGCCGGTATTGCTGAAGAGGGCAAGAACTTCACCTTGACTTTCAGAGACCAAACTGTCCACCAGATTGATCAGCCAACGGGAGGTACTACGTCATGGTACTCAACCTTTGGGCCGACTATGGAAATGTCTCTTAAGCCTCAGGTGTCTGCACCTGGAGGGACTATCCTAAGTACATGGGTTACATCCAACGGATGGGGATATGCAGTCATCTCGGGCACATCGATGGCCACTCCTCAGTAAGTAATGTTTCCAGAGCGTAGATGGCCATGAGCTTATATTCTACAGTCTTGCAGGTTGTTATGCTCTTGTTAAGCAGAAGTTCCCGAGTCTGAGCCCGAAAGAGATCACAAGACGTTTGCAGTCATCGGCAACTCCTTTGAAGCAATACAACGCAACCGACATTCTCACGACTACCGCTCAACAAGGCTCTGGCCTAGTCAATGTCTTGAGAGCAGTGACATCGGAAACCGTTTTCTCTGCTACCGAGTTCAACTTACGCGACTCAGCCGGCCCCCTTGATCGGAACTTTACGATCGAGAACCTGTCATCTTCTCCCAAGACCTACACGTTGGGTCACAAGCCTGCAGCGGAAGTCAACGGACTACCAAACGGCAACAGTCTTGACATCAACGACATGTTTTACTGGGCACTAAACTTCAACCCTGTTTACTCCGAAGTCTCATTCCCAACGAGCTCCCTTACTATTCCGGCTGGCGGCAAGGCGACTGTGGAGTTCACTGTGACCCCTCCCTTTGTTGACCCTTCCCTCCTACCGACTTACAGTGGTCTCATCACTGTCACTGAGGGAGAGGAAAACTTTTCTATTCCGTATCTTGGAATCCCGTATGCCCGCGGCGAACTTTCCAACATCTACACAGGGGACTTGAAGAACCTTGACGTGAACCCAGCGCCCCCTTCGGGCGTGCCTTTGCTACCGTTCATCAGTTCTTCTGATGCTGGAATTCGCAACAACGACAAATCCGTTTACACATTTCCCGCCCAGAAGGTCGCCGAGAACCAAACACAGATTCCCGACAATGACCCGGTCCTCACAGTTTTCATTGACCAACCATCGGCGTATGTTCGATTCGATGCAGTGCCTGCCGACATCGCGTCCAATCCCGCTTACAACTTCACGCCGTCCACTTTCGGATATCTGCCAGGCTCTCAGTCAAACGCCACATCGTTCACAAACACCACTGTCACTACTTCGACCCTGGACTTGGATTCCCTTGATCACGTGGCAGGATTGAAGAGTTACGGTCTCGTTGGTCTGCTTTGGGGTGGCGATGTGCCTCACGGAGCTGTTGCTACCAACTTCCGAGGCTACAGTGTCTACAGTACTGAGTGGTCATGGGGTGTGGTTGAATTGGCCAACGGAACGATTTACCAGTTGCCGAATGCTGATTACCGTATCCTGGTTCGGGCCCTGAGATGGGGGGGCAACATGAACAGCTCGAGTGATTATGACAGCTGGCTGAGCCCGATCATTGGGGTCAACATCACGGACCCCGGATATCCCAACCCGTGGCTTACCCAGTGAGATTGTTGAAAACGCTACCGCTTAGACTTGTAATTCCGGGCATCCTCTAGGCTGTCAAAGTACACATGAAGTGGAATGGGGAATCGGGAGTGTGTAGTGACAGGTGCGGAAGTGCTTTTGCGAACTTATTTGACTTTTCTCTTATGTGCCTAGGTCTAGTACGAAAAAGCTTCCTCTAATGAATACCGTGTTGTCAGTATCTCCACCAAAAAAGAAACGAGTGTGGATTCTAGCGTGTCATTGTGTGAAACAGTCGGTTTCTGGAGCTAGCACGCCAAAATGTGATCTTTAAGAGCCCAACATTGTCCCCTAACTTTCCGCAGCGGCCGATGCAATTTTTGGCCTAATCAATGCTTAACGCTACAGGTAACTGAAGAATAGAAGGGGAGAGGGATGGTTGATTTCTAATTGGCCATGGAACTTGAGAGGAAATTTCTTCTGATAGGGGCAAGAACGTTTTGATAAGAACCTACACCAACCTCGGAGAACGGGGATCTGGAAAAGGGAATCAACTTCTGAGAGGCAAGGAGATCTGCACTAGCCTGCTTTACATCCCACAGCTGACGCTGAAATCATTGCTGCTGCGTACTTCTGTTAGGGAAATTTAAAGTGCAGATGAGTGGACGAGTAATTCGCCTGCTGTGGTGTCCAAACTTCGGCCGCGTGCCATCACCTCTTTTGGTTATGGCTCCGGGCTTATAAGGCAACTTTTGCACTCTCGCGGCCCTAATCATGGTGGCAGCTGGTATGGATGGCGTCTTTGTGAGAGAAGGTCTTGCCCACAGATTGCATCAATTACTTGATAGGATGTGAAAGGCTAAGGACGTATTTTCAGGAAACTGGGAAGTCTGACGAGACTAACGGCGGAGCAGTATGTACTACGAAGGCGGTGCAGGTACCGCCACCATTGGGCGAAGTAGCTAGGGTTCCAAAATACTAGTGAGCCAATAGGCAACGGTAGAGGCACGGTATGTGCCGATGGGAAACGATAGAGATCCAAGTTGTAGGAGGCCTCTTACGTACTTTCGGCTATACAGCACTTCATTTGAGGATGACAAATTTAGTTTAGATACATAGTACTTACTTTATCTAAGAACCGTCATAAGTGGATAAATAAATGAGATATATTGAGTGGTAAATCGTCAAATTATCTCTACATCGGTGGCTATATTTGCACGAGGGTCATCGTCGCGCCTAGAACCCAATAGCTTCGCAAACAAGGCGTCAGACCCAACTTCCGGTGTCATTTTTAATCCCGTGCCGCACAAAGATGCCGATGACATATAGTTTGATCTTGGTTTGGACGCGGCATCACCCGACGTCTGTTCCAGTCATTATCTTGCTGTTCCTGATCAGAGCACGGAGGCAGGTACTCATCCGACATAAGTTGAACAAAACCAAACACAGCGTCCACTTACTCATGGCTAATGTGCCAACTGTCGAGATCAACGTCACCTTCTGAACCTGGAGTCTGCGATCAACTTTTGTACAAAGGTAAACAGCTGCTGTCACCCAGTACTGAGCCTAACACGAATAGTCTCCAAGGGCAGTGTCATCGACATAAGGTATTTTGTAGTAGGAGCGGAACAGCGTTGAAACTCTCTCCACAGTAATTACATTATTGGCGTTAGTGAGTAAAGTCGCACAGGTGGGTCTCGTTGTTAACTATCACTGCTAGTCAACTTGGCGAATGCGACAGCCCTCTGGTTGGCTGTGACGGATGCGACCTCTTGCCAATCTTGTTATAAAGTCTATGAAACTATCTTTTTATCGTGGCATACAAGAATGACGAAGAGTCCTGTATGTTCAAGCTCCCGCCAACGATCAAGCTTGCTTGGACCCAAACACAGTATTGATTCCAATTTCTTACACCACAACTTGAAGATGAGTCGTTACCTCGACACGAGAGAAATTGCATCTGTGGCTGAGCTGACTGTTTACACCCCGAGCGTATTCCTTGCAGCCTAAATATCTATCAAGCTTGGCGTCGGCCGCTCAGCCTGTTGGACATACACCGTCATGCTCTGCCTTGCTCGATTCCTTGGCTCCATGTTTCACCTGGCTACTTACAAGAACTCTTCTGCTGGCATCTTGCAAGCTGCCCTCATTCTGAATGGAGTCGCTATAATGCCGCTTCTCCTAGCAACTCTTGGATTAGTGTCTAAGATGTAAGTGCACATTCAAATGCCCTGGAGAGACTGCAAAGACTGACAGTATCTTCTAGCGTCGACTGGGTGAAGGAAGAAACAGGGTCGCCGCTCAACACGAGACACTTCACAATGCTCCAGACTGTACTATTCGTGGGCCTTATCCTGAGTATTGTTGGTGGAATAAATGCACGCCACTCATCTGATGGCACATATCAGCCCCAAAATATCACCAAGGCGTCTACATCAATCTACCTTGGTGGATTCATTGCAATCACGGCTGTCATAATTGTCTCGGGACAAGCCTTCAAGAGAGTTTCGCACATCGAACGGCTGTTAATTATGGCAATCACATTGGCTTGGCCTTTTCTCCTTGTCCGAGTACTCAACTCGATTTTCTCAGCATTCCTGGGCACCAAAGTCTTCTCCATGGTCGGGGTAGTCTAGGCGTTTACGTTGGCATGGCTGTGGTTGAAGAGTTTGTAGTTACAGGGGTTCATTTGGCACTTGAGCTTTTCTTAGTGAAACACGAATATTTTGCGACAGGACCAATCGCCAATCGATCTTGGAGAAATCGGGCCGCAGACTCCATGAGACGAGGCCGCTACCATTGCGACATAGAAGGAGAGCACGCTATCCCTCTAGAATAGCGAGACTGCTATTGACAGTCAGTGTTCCTAGGCTTCAGGTCTAAGAAGAGTCCTCAAGGCCGGATGAGAACGGTTACTTTGTTCGATGATTAATCAATATATGACAATAAAATGGGTAGTGCGGGGAAAAATCACAACTCACCAAGCAGTTTCTAATTGTACTGTATGAGAAGATTTTCTAGGGAGGGGAACGTAGTCCCAGCTTGTCGAACTGTGAAGTTCCACATGAAGGTCATCCAAGTCAATTTACTACTGGCCCTCCGTATTCCAAAGCCTTGAGAGAGGGGAGTCAAAGGGGGGTTGAAACAACCTTGCCTATGATGTGAAAGTCTAAATGAGATACGGCAAGACATGAGAGATTATAACAAATAATTTAAAATCCGGACTTTAACCCGACGTAAACTTATATAATCTTGTGCCAGTCTGCTTCTTCCACCCGTCTCTTCTGTGTTCGTCATATCGACTGAGATGTCGAAAGACTGCTCGGCAGTCTGGATGACTAATCTTATTTCCATCAAATAGGAGTCCTTCACGATGCTAAGCATCTAGCAGTAGAGTTTAGGAAGTTTGTTTCTGGGGCCTTTGAGCAAGCAGGTTTAGCGCTTGATCTTAGGAATAAAAGGATCATCCTTCTAGCTCTGAATTTTCGCGGACCAGTAGGCTTCAAAAATGCTCCAGGAAAATCCTCTGGAAGATGTTTCTCATTCTTTACTCCCACTTTCTAAACAATTGCATAGAGCGTATAAAAAGCTAGAGAGATGATCATAGAAATTAGTATACCTACTTGGTATTTCTGCCCCTTTATTGTTACGTGCTCAGCACTATCTCAAAACCCTTTGGCCTCTGCGCCTTGAATGATCACGTGAAGCTACTGGCAAAGCTAAGACCACTGGCCAGCGAGCCAATCTATGGTTTGTTCTGCCAATGTTATTGTAGATCAAGTGCCGAAGGACTTCAAGCTCCTACAGTTAACTTCTCTAAGATTCACAATTATGATATCGCCATCAGCCTTGGGGCAGGAAAACAGCTGATCGATTACGAAAATGTCTGGATTCTAAAGCGGAACCGAGATCTCGCTGTTAAAGTTTGTTTTAAGAGGTATGTAGAATGTAAAAAATTGGTATCTCAATGTTTACTTGATAGGGCGAGCAAGCTGCCCTTGTAAACATAGTTGGATCAGTTGGATCAGTCCGCCCTGAGAACTGCAACGGACCAAGGAGGCATGACGAACTCGAATATGCCGTCGGATGATTCGATGTGCGAGATAAGTGGGGCAGTGATAGGAGCTGAATCAAAGGTGTTGGCACTGTCGGGGTCGTCGTTTCCTAGAATTGAAAGTGTTGCAGAATTCTTTGCTGCAATCTTTATGTTCATGTGTTGTAGCTCACCAGCGTAGTTGGCAAGTTTCACGACAGACGTATCCCCGGCGCTAACAGCACTCCAGAAAACTGGGTCGAATCCAGTATCAGAGATGACCTCATGTGTCATGGTTCCGGCGTTTTGCGCGGAGAGCTGCTGTACCTAATAGCTGGAGGTATAAACGATGGCGTCAGGGGCTTGTTTGAATGGAATCAGATTGGGCTAGAAACGATTGAACAATGTCAACTTGAGGTCTCATGTGCAAGTGATGACTGAAACATGGGAAACTTACTGCCCATTGTTGATGATCAATAAGACTGATCAAGGGTGCAAATGCTACACCTTGAATGAGATCACTGTTACGTTCCAGTCCAAGCATAAAGACAGCCTCAGAAACTGAACCCTTCATGTCCGACCACTGCACCCCCCAGCGACCCATTTCTCCGATGATGTACTTGTTTCTGCGGGAAACATTATCCCACTGAGCAAAGTTAACGATGTAGTTCTCAGGGATATTGTACTCGTGGTAGTCGATCCAAGCATCTTCGGGAAACGGATCGGGTAGGCAGTTGAATCCGGTAGCTGATGCAATGAGTTGGAGCTTTGGATACGTTGGACGAATGGCGTTATAGAATGCTGCGAATCTTTCTGGATAGCTACTGTAGCCAAAGTCGTCTTTATTTCCGATTTTAACCTATTTGACGGGCCAAGGCTGCTCGCGTCCGTTTTAAGCTCGGAGAGCCCCCATTGGGGTTGAAGAATCGCCAAGAACGTACTTTTCAACGAAAGAACATTAGATTCAAAAAAGTGACGCTGAAAGTATTCTATAGGACTTACGTCCAGCTCACGGAGAACTTCGTCAACAAAAGGTTACAGAGCCTCGCCGGTGATATGTATGCCGTCCAGAGAGTACCCGGAATAAACGTCCAGGAATGGCTCGAGACACATGTCGTCACACCACTCAAAGTACTCATAAAGACCTCTAGGAGGTTAGTCATAAAGAAGGTCATACTAAGTAGTCTGGTCTAGAAGTTACGCTTACCGAGAGCATCTATATTCGAATATCCCTAGGCCCCTATTATTACGGCCAGCTAGTTGTAGTAAGTATATTTACAGAATTTAAGGCTATAATACTAAGAAATAGTATATTGTAATTATAAATAGCTTCCCTAAAGCTATATTTATAAATCGTAAAGTAAATAAAACTTTAATAACTAATTATAATCTTATTTAAAAGGTTTTTAATAAAGATAATTAAAAGCGATTATAAGATTTAATATTAAATTAATTATTAAAAAAGCTACAAAAAGTCTATCTTTAAGCCTAGCTTAAATTTATCTTATATATAAATCTTATTTTTAAATATATTTTTTATTTTTTAGGTCGTTCTAGATTATTTAATTTAAAATAATTATTTAGATTTTAAATTATATTAAATTATTCGAATTTAATATAATCTTTATTTTATTAATACGTAGTTTATTTTATAATTCTTCCGTTTTATAAGGAATAATCGTATCCTAGTTTTATATATATATATAGTATACTATAACCGCTGTAGCCTGGTAGCTAGTCTCTAGGTTAGTCATGTACGTTAGGTCGTAATAGGACGGGTCAGACCAATAGTTATATACGGACGGCGGTATCTCGACGTATTCCGACGGCGAATACTTGAGTATAATCCTATAGTTTAAATGTCCTATTATAGCCGCCCGACGCCCAAATGGGTCGGTCAACTATTATCCTTATATAACGGGTCGTAAAATCTAACTGCTGCATGATAGATCTAAATAACTATCGCCATACTAGTATTATAGATAGCTTGATGGCGCAGGCCGCGGGATGCAAGATGGAGGGGGAGCATCATGACCGACTACTACACCTACAACCTGATCAACACTCTATCTAACTTCTTATCTATTTAATCTCTTATCTCGATCCTAAGAGGAGAGGCATACACAAGCAGCTTTAATTAATTGATTGGCATGATTCGCAACTTGTAGTGCTGAGGAACATTTGCGGGGAAGCCCGGAGTAAGACTAGTCCGTTTTGGGCAACTTTTCCACCGAAGTTCGATGCATCCTCTTGCTATGACCGCGTGACCATCATCTATGGGTCAAAAGAAGTAGATTTTCCGCGTGCATGACGATAATGACGAATATTATGGTTTCTGATATTTCCATCTTACAAGCTGAATAATGGCAGTCATACTTGTGGCTCCTAATCCCTAATCGGTACGAATATACGCCTGCCCGCCTCCGTCGCCGAAGTCTATCGCCTACCATGCCCGGTCGATAGAATTCTGGCCGTCGGCCGGGTAGCATAGCCTTCCATAATTGCGTCCTTGCAAGTCACTACTTACTCTATAGCGAAGGACTGACAACGGGACAAGGCTTGTGAGAGTTTGGTGGTAAAACTTCCCAAATAGGATACTTCGATGGTTGCTTGTGAGGCCCCCTTCATGAGGCTTGCATCAAAATGAATATTCTTGCACGTAGATAGCTGAAACCCATATTAAACAAAAATTCTGTCTGCTATCTTCCAGTTGTCTTGCTTCAGCGAACCAAGCCGAGAGGTATATGCAGCCATGTCAGAGAGTATCATTACAACCAAAATTTCCCTCCCCCTGCCGGCATCTGGCCGTGCACTGAACGAGATAAACAAGAGCTACAGCGTCGGAGGGATCAACTCTTTGCCGGTATACCTGGTCTCAGGGCAAGGTTCCCGGGTTCGCGTAAGATGAACGCCACACTGGATGTCTTTGTCCTTGAGATTGACTAAAGCTCAAGGATTCCGATGGGCGCGAGTTGATTGATTTCATCTGTGGATTTAGCGCCAGCAACCTTGGGCAATGTCACCCGAGGCTTCTTGAAGCGCAAGTCAACTCAGCTAAGAAAAGTTAGCAACTGCCCTTCATCTGTGCTGCTGATCATGCTGTGCTAACTTGCACCCAGTAACACTCGCCAACATTGCTGGCCAGGCAGAGGGATGGCCTCGTCTGGCCAAACGCTTGTGTGATAAGTTTGGGTATGACAAGATATTGGCCATGACATCGGGTTCCGAAGCTACAGATACGGCTTGCAAGTTGGCGCGTGGATGGGGAGTCGACATCAAGAAAATCGACCCCAAGGAGGTTCTTGTACTCGGAACGTCAGACAACTACCACGGTACGCTTTCTGGGGTATGGCCTCTCATGGAACCGGAAGCTGGCTGGGAAGGTAAGCCGCCACATCATGTTCCCATTGACAACTATCAAACTCGTAACTAATAGGAAGATCAGAATTCGCGACATTCAGCAAGAATATGACCAACATCAATCCTCAAACAGGAAAGGTTCTTCGCTACCTTCATATCGAAGACTTTGCAGAGATATTTGAGCAGATGCATGAGCGTATTGCTGCAGTCATCATGGAGCCACTTCATGGACTTGCCAGGCGAGTCATCTTTCACATCTACTATTGCCACGCACTCGATTAATTTACTAACCCTTCCAAGGTCCATGGAGGAAGAGATCAACTTTTGCATTGGAGTCTGGAAGCTATGCAAGCAGTACAACATTCTCTTCATCGCAGACGAAGTCCGGATGGGTTCCTGCAAAACTGGCAGGTTCTTGAGCTCTGACTGGATGGGACCCGAGCACAAACCAGACATGGTGACCATGGGCAAGTCCATCTCTGGAGGTGTCTGGCCAACCTCGTTTGTGCTTGGCCCCGATGAAGTCATGAACAAAATGAAGCCATACCACTCAGTCAGCACATTCTCAATGTCTTCAATGGCCGTCACAGGTGTGACTACCGCATTGGATATCTACGAGGAGAACCTACAGCAGCGAGCCCAAGACATCCATGCCAAATGGAGCGCGGAAACATCGACGTGGAATTTCCCCTGGTTGCGATATTGTCCCGCTTTCGGCGCAGACTTGAATATTTTGCTGGACACAGAGTACGAAAGTAAATCGGAGAACATTACTCCCCGCCGGTTCTCATTGCTGTGCGCTAGCAAAGGTCTACTCGTCTTTCCTGGCCCCAATGGTCGCATTCGTTTGGGAGTCGCCTTGACCATTCCTGATGAAGATCTCCTCCAGGGTTTCAAGATCCTGAAAGAGGCATTGGAAGAGTTGCCACAGTACGGCGAGATTGAAGGTTCCGAAGAAACCAAGGGTGCTTTCTGATCTCTGTGCGCCGCTTCAGGATAAATATTTCAATGCACTTGTTTTCTGTATTATGTGTGCCTTGACGGGAAGAGCATTGCCTTGTAGTGGAAGATGCGCAAATCGTTTTGTGCTACGGCGCTATGTTACACAGTTGATCCCAAAATACCTGAACAGGTCTTCCAGAGTTCATCTGAGATGTGAATGTTGGTCAGAGCGCAAGATCACTAGGACATTCAAGTACTGAGTCTTTCGAACCTTGATCGGTACGGCTTTCGGACCGGCGTGTTACCTAAGCACCTCGGTTCGGCCTCCGTCCAGAGCCATCCGGGCAGGTGTTAACTTCTTTTCCTCCAATTGTAGACCCAACACAAACCAAACGAGCAGCAGTGCTTTCGCTGTCAAACCACTCAAGTTTGAAGCCGCATCGAGACTCCACCGATATAGTCTTCTGTTTCATTCATCTTTGCAAGCATGCCGACAAGGCATAGCAAACGGACCAGGGGCGCGTGCGCGCAGTGCGTTCGCAAGAAGCGAAGGGTATGTGTTACCTCGATCACTATTGGTTGACGACAATATCGCTAGATCCATACACCAAAGAGAAAGCCTATTTTAACGGAATTTGTAGTGTGATAAAAAACGCCCGAAATGCTCACTGTGCTTGAAGACTCACCTGGCCTGCGACCTCGAAGTCTTCAAGATATGGGCACCCGAAGAGCCCAAGAATCAGGGGCCAAGCATGCAGACACATGCTTCCAGCAGCCACACAACGGAGATGCCAGTCTCACATTCTGAGTCCACGGCCCGCCGCTCAGCTGAGGCCCTTCCAGAGACTGGCAACGATGATCCTCTGACTGGAGATCCAGCCGGTGACCTCTGGCTCGCAACCCCCCACACCGCTGATAATGAGGTTCTGAGGTCCAACCTTCCTGGCAGTCAAGACATCAGTAATAGCAATCATCACTTTGAGACCATTTTCACAGACGAAGAAGGAATTACGAGTGCGGGATTGTACGGAGAGTCGGCTTCAAACGACGTACTACTTACTGTTTTCGACGACCCAGAATTCGATACGCAGCTCCTGGACTCTCCAAACTTGAACGACGCGATGAACTCCGTCTTGGATGATCTTGCAATAAATTCCGTCTTGGAGGATTTTGCAATGAATTCAAGCTTGGTCTCTTGTAGTCCAATGACTGGGAATCGCCGAGGATCCTTGCACGCCTCTACATCAATGACTCACTGTCCGATGCCTTGGCCGCCGGATATGCTCGCATCACCCGAGAAACGTTTTCTCTGGCAATATTTCTTGCACATAACGAAGGATGGGTTTCTGTGTCTCGACGAAAAAGAACTCTTCAGGTTCCATGGATCCCAAGACCCTTTCATAGCCACTATCCCACAAATGGCGATTTGTGACGAAAGCTTACGGAGCTCGATTTTCTGTTTCGCTGCGTTTCAGTACAACGCCAGCCAAAGTGGCAACGACTTCAAGCAGCTTGTGAGGGATTGTTCGAGAAAGGCTTCTGTAGCCCTGAAAGCTCAACCGTACTCTGACCAACCTTGGAGCCAAAGCTGGACTCTACACGTATTCTCAAAGATTGCCTGTGGGATATTTCTGCACCACTTTGGCCAGGGCGATACTGAAACCTCAGAGTATTTGCATTCTGCAGGCGCACTTGCCGCCGGCTTTTACAAACGCCCGCAGTCCTCCTCGAATCTTTTCTCACCAATTGTTCAGCTGGTACTCTCCATGCTGCGGTGGACTATTATATCGACGGCATGCTCGTTCCAGAGTTCTCAGACACTGGTGAGCGACAAGATCTACAGCTATTTGGAGATGCGAGCAGAAGAGGTGGATCATAACTATTCGCCCTCCTTTCTCGATTGGTTAAACCATCCGATATACGCATTTTCTCCTCGTCTCGTTAACCCTCTTCTTCGTCTGGCCAAGCTTCTTGACTTGCAAAAGTCTCAGTGGACCGTCAATCAGTATAGTTTGTCGGATCGAGCGATGGGAATTGAAATGATAAAGCTTGAGGAAGACCTGCTAATGGCCCGGGAAGTCGACTTGGATCGCTGTCACACACACACTGCGGACCCGAAGGAGCTCCGTTCTCTGAATGAAGCCATGCACGCAGCAACATTTCTCCTGTTTTATGCACGCCTTAAAGGCATGCCATTCACAGCGCCACTGGTACGTAAGAAGGTGAAGGTTATAGTGGCCGAGATTGGGACTATTCCTGTCGCATCTCGCGTTTCTCATGCCGTTCTATTCCCACTCTTCATCGCTGGCTGCGATGCCGTCGAGGATCAGGCACGGAGGACAATTTTGGAAAGGTTGCGGACACCAAGGGGGCTCACGTACAATCGCAGAGACGTATGCTTGTCGTTGGAGCATGTATGGCAAGTACGAGACCTGGACCCTGGCCTCAGGTGGCCCGACTGGTTCTACAAATGTGAGTGAACCGAGACAACCTTGAGTGAGGTAATCACTAACGAAAATGCTACAGTGAATCCGGACTTCTGCATCAGCTCATTATTCTAGAACAAATAGATAGAAGCAGTGAATCGAAGAGAGCTCTGCAACGCCCGCCTTTGAAACGTGTCATTGGGTAGTTTTAGCTAGCTGACTTACTAGATATACATCTGGCGATGAGTCCTTCGGACCAATCCTCACACAATCAACTCTAAACTCAAAAGCTTTGAGTAAGAGGTGTTGGAATGTATTATTTAAGGGAAGCAAGCCTTCGATCATATTTCAAATTCGTGCAAGTATTGTACAAGTCGCCATCGCCCAGTGTCGAATAGCCTACCTAGGTAGACCGGACAACCCGAGGTTTAATGAGGCAGAATGGCTTCAACTCAGACAGCCTGGTAACAGAGCTTCACTCATAGGCCATTGTCATCGGACCTCTTCTCACAAAAATGCTCATGATCTCATATATCAAGTCTGCCGCCGCGAGTGATGTGACCTCAGCGTTCGTGTCATATACTGGAGATACCTCAACGACATCCGCAGCAATTATGTTGACGTCAGAGAGACCTCGAATGATCGCACGTAGTTCACGTGTAGACCAACCTCCAGTTTCGGGAGTTCCGGTTGCTGGAGCAAAGGCAGGGTCGAGTGTGTCAATGTCGATGGACAAGTAGACCGGCTTATCGGTGCCGACACGCTCGATGATCTTCTTGATGATGCCACGTGTGCCAATTTCGTCAATCTCACGAGCCTCAATGCGCGCGAAGCCACATAACTCGTCTTCGTTATAGTCTCCAAGCCCTGACAGAGTCGTGCGGAGGCCAGCGTGCATATTGCTCGAGTTGGAAATCAAGCCCTCCTGGTTCGCCCAGTAAAAGAAGCTCCCGTGCGTGATTTGTGCTGCATCGGATGGCGCTCCTTGCGTTGGATTCCACGAATCGAGATGGGAATCGAAGTGAATGACGCTGACTGGCCCGTATACTTTGTGGATGCTTCGAAGAATCGGCAGCAGAATCGTATGATCACCACCCAGCGTGAGAAGTCGAGGAATTGTTCTCAGATCGTTCGATTCGGTGGTCAGTGATTTCGTGTAGGCTGGGCGCTGGAGCAGGCTCGCATATCCCTTTTCGATATCTTTCATTGCGACCTCCTTGTCATGGCTGTTCCGATGTCAAAATCAATACATGATCTATCCTGTCGCGTTGTTACTACTCACGGTGAAGCTTGAATGTCGCCACAGTCAAGTGCTTGTCCCCAAAACTTGAGAGGATTCACGCGTTGAGGTCTGCATACTTGGGGGTCAGAGAGATGGATGCGTAGATATCGGCGAAACCTACGCATTGTAGCCCCCTCTTCCAGTCTGTTAGTCTAGGCATCCGAACGGCTCTATGGCTGCGAGACACTTACGCTAGAGTCAGATGGCGAGAAGCTTGTCTGATAGCCGAAGGGCCGAACCGAGCTCCTGGGCGGTAGGTCACACCACTGTCGAAAGGGATACCTGGCACGCTAAGTCAACCAGACATACGATGATAGAAAGCAATATCTTCTGCATTGGAATACGAACCAATAGTGGCAATGTCAAAAGCAACAGACTCGTCTTGAAGGCAGGGAAGATGGCGCAGCAGCCCGTAGGTCGTGATACCTGCGAACGCAGAGTGGTCCTACAGCAAGTCAGCGGTATTTCTGGGCCCCTTGGATGATGGGAAACCGTGCATATTCGTAGTTCTGGGGCGTTACTGCGCCATCATTACTCTGCAGTGGCCGTTGAACTGCATGAGCGAGTGACCCAGCCAAAAGTGAACAATAATGAAAGAATCGGAGCATTGCTTCTGAGTAGACAAAAGTACATCAGTGAGTTCAGAAAATTTGTTAACCCCCCAATGGTCATCCTTCCGATCTCTTAGGCACTGCCTCTTATGGGTGTCGGTCTCTTTTTACCACAGAAGTTCAAAGCTAGCCGTCTTAGGAAACTAATCCGCACCCCCCCCCAAAGCCAGGATCCTCCGTGTCCATGAATTGCCGATCTGTAAGTTGACTGGGACAGATATTAGGGAAATCCAAGAGTGCTGCCATCAAGTCGGACGGGTTCAGAGTCTGTGTCTCTGCCTGACGCGGCCACTTAGGGTTAGGGTTAGGGTTAGGGTTAGGGTTAGGGTTAGGGTTAGGGTTAGGGTTAGGGTTAGGGTTAGGGTTAGGGTTAGGGTTAGGG